CCAGGGTACAGGCTACTTCAGATGTTTTTAAAGTGATGCAGTCCACCCAGTGGCATAAGTATGGCCATTCTGCATTAAAATTTTATGTTTTCTTCTATTAACATTTATGTTTGACATTGTACCCCTCTTTTAAACATGACATTACTATTTTTACTACAAAAACATAAATAAGACAAAATTGTCAAGTTGAATGCTTGAACAACTATGAGAGATTGCTAGACTGTGGATGTATTCAATGCAGCGAGTAGAGAACATATATGATCTGATGAATCTGAAACCAACGCATGTACTTAATTTGTTCGATACCAAATCCCATGCCATCATGGGACATGACATAACCTGAGAACCCATTCACGTGGTGTGTGTGGTATGATGTCTAAATTGCAAATCTCACGCTATCACGGGGAAAGAGCTGATCATCAACTTTTATTATCCCCTTCAGTCAGCAAGTAGGGAAAATTCAAGCACACAGCTGGCATCGCAGTGATCGCTAATTTCCCCTACAACAGTAGTGTATGAGTTAAGCATCATCATGCACTACTGGTGGAGGTATATGTGGGTCATCTACACATTTATTAAATCATTTGTTTCAATAAACACAGTCACATCGATTGTGAAAAGCCGATTCTCCAGTCTAGCTGGCATTGGTGTTCCATAAATGTTTCTTTAAGTACACTCATCCTATGTCTTAGTAAAGCCAATCACTCTGAAATATCTTGTCTGAAATATACCAGTTGATCGTGATCGACTTAATGCCCATTCCTGTTGTATAGTTATAAAATAATACTGTTTTATCATATACAGATATAAGGCAATGCAAAAACCTGTGCCTTTTCCAATAACTATAATTACAACTGGAATGTGCCGAGATTTTTCTTGAAATGATGTAAATGAATGATGTCATACAAACTTTCAACCAATCAAACAGCATGGGAAGAAGTAGAATCTCTTTCTTTTTGTTGGTATGTAGTTCAGAGAAAAAATAATTTGCAGTGTACCATTCTAAGTATTAGAGTGTGGTTAGCAGTTACTTCACTTTTGTTATGTCTTATGAGTTTGTCCTTTGCAATTTTACTCCTCACTTTTATGTCTACATAAAATAAAAGGTTAAACTGAAAAAAAAACCCCTTCAGTATTGATTCTTGACACGAATAAAGAAATTTTTACAAAATAATCCATTAAATCCTGATCTGTCAAGGATACTCAATTTCAGTTAAAATTTTCACACACACAAAACAAATATATATACCAGCTGCATGGCCCGGTATTGCACAGGCTTTCTCTACATTTATAAATTTTCCCTTCCCTTCACAAAATCAGCACTTCCATTATTATTTTTTGTAACTACTTTGTTTCTTTCCCCTCCACTTAGCCCGGCATTGCACAGGCTTTTACCGAGTGTATGACTTAATCCCCCATGTTAATTTCCTCTTTCCATCATGATGCCGACACTTCTGTGTAGGTGTGTACAAGTATGATGAGAGTGATTGCTATAATGATGACATTATAATTCACTTTTTTGGAAATTGTTGACTTATTTTCATATTGTAATGAAAATTCCCTTTTCGCTGTCAGCATTTCCTGGTGTATGTTCGATTTCTATATTAACGTCAATGCAATTTTTTAGCCCCCCAGAAACAAAAAAGTACCTTTTTAAAAATAGTTGTATGCTGAAAAAAGAAAGAAAAGTAGAAATTTGTAAAATTACAAAATTCCACAACTATATTAAATGTTGAATTAAAATTGTGATCCTTTTTAGAAATGTTTGATGCACTGGAAAAAAGTTTCATGCAATTATTTTTTTAATGAAGAAATTATTAAATGTTTGATTTAAATTTTGAGTATTTTTTAAAAATTCGTAAAAAAAAAGTTTTTGGCATTCCGTTTTCCAAATCACTGATTCTAAAAGATCAAAGTATGAACTTTTTAAAATATATTGTATCGTGGAGAAATAAATGATCTTTCCGAAAATGTAATTATTTTTTGTCTCATATTAGATCGCTAATTAAAAAACTTTGGGAGTAACAAAAAATTTTCCACCCCCCGGTCGCCGCGTATTAGCGGAAGTAACAGCCAAACAACTCCCCCCCCCAACTTTCCACCATCGTATTTCTCAAAGCAAATCCTCTTAATAGATAACGCGATGTTGACGCAAAAGGGGTATTTCAATGAAATTTTTTTTAAGAGCATGTTTTTTAAGTTAATGCTTTCAGACTTCACACATCGATTGCAAACTACAGTAATTTTTAAACAAAAAAAGGAAGAAAAAAATATAATAATACATTGTGTGTGTGTGATTAGCTCTCGCAAAGAGGGTAAAAAACGAAAAACACGCATGTGTTTTTACAAACCATAATTTTTAAGCAATTTTTTCAATTACGAATGATGATGTTGTTAAATATTTAATTAAAAATTTTTGAGTATTTTTGAAAGATTGTAAAAAAAAAAGTTTTCCACATTTTATTTTTTTAAATGACTAATTCTAAAAGAGAAAAGCATGAACTTTCTTAGTGTAGAATATGAGTTCTTTAGCGCGGAAGGAAATTCAAATGGAACGATTTAGAAATCATTTTCATAAAAACGTATCAATTTTAACTCATTTTAGAAAAAATCGTAAAAAGTAGAAAATATCATTATTTTGTAAAAAAAAATTATACTGTATCGTGGCAAAATAAATTATCTTTCCGATTCTGTAATTATTTTTTGTCCGAGTTCGATAGAAAAATTAGACAGCTGTTTCAAAAACGTGGAAAAAATGGAACTTCTTTAAGCTCAATCTGAAAAGTCACTTGGAGGAATAAAAAGCCAACAGGGGTAAAACAATTATGCATTTTAAGGTTTTTAATTAATATCTTTTTAACTAATTGCAATATCGGAATATAAATGGTCCAAACGGTTTCCTCGGATCATTCCCCCTCTTTTGGTACCTTTGGCGAGTTTTTGTGTTGTGCGGTTTGTGAGGAGATAGACATACATAGATACATTTGTTTACCGAATTTTAATAGTGTGGATCTTGTTCAAATTTTCAATAGTTAATAAAATACTTAATATTCATCCACTCAGATTCTAATACATTTTTTAAGCTTATAGTGGATGACACTTGATGTGTTAGTAGTTTTTTCAAATATTAATTCATTAATAAATAGTAACAAACAAAATTAATAGTCCAGCACCCTATATAAAAAGGAAAATCGCTTGTTGTATCTCTGTAACACAATGGATAGCATGTTGGACTTCTAATTCAAAAGTCGTGGGTTCGAATCTTACCTGGGATGGCCTAATTTCTGAGAATGTGATTTATGAATGAATAAATAGTAAGAAACAAAAATAATAGTCCAACACCATATATAGAGAAGAAAATGGAAAATCACGTTCTATTTTGCCACTTAATATTGTGATTCTATCATATGTATATACATATTTATATTAATTGTAATTATTTAATAAAAAGTAACTAAAATAAATTTTTTCTTTGTTGACTAAGTATGAATTAACTTAATTTTTTTTTATATTACTTATTTAATACCATTATTAAGATGAATTACCATTTAAAGATCCGTCATCCTTCGATTTTGAAGTACAGTCCACTGCATTTGATAAATGATGGGAATCTAAGTGCACTCCAGTATTCCTTTCTGAATATATTACTTGATGTTCATCTGCATCTTCATAATCAGAAGAGTCTGATGACTCACTTTCATAAGACTTCAATTCAAAAGTTTTCTGACTATTTAAATTCTCTTCTAAAAACTGGTTTAAAAAAAGTGAATGTGTTGGTAACATTTATTATTTTGAAAACTTAAAATAAAATTAAAAAGATTTTAATGATAAAAAGTATTATATTTATATTTAAGTAATCAACTATTTACGTAGTATATTTTTCATTCAATACATTCAAAACTAGTGATTTTCAAAACCAATTACCAGTTCTTCAAGACTGAAAACACAGTTTTATAAGAAATAAAGCATACACAATTATAAACAGAAACTGACTCCTATTAAATGATAACTGTCATGATAACTGTAACTGTGTACTTGTGTTAATTGGGTATTGTAACTATATATCGATTCCTTGTGTTGTTGCTGTTGTGAGATGACGTTGTCACCTCATGCTTAATAAAATGATTTAACGAAGAACTGTTTGATCGCTTCTGATGCAAATGTTCTGAAGAACATTCTGTAACCAACAAACATAACATTAACTATTAAAATAAAAATTCATTATTATGTGACTATCAATTACTACTAATCCTTCGGTAATTCTGATTAAAAAAAAAATTAATGTGTTTTTCATTTGTCCAACCATTTGCAGTTTTCAATAAACACATTTATTCAGAAATAATCAGTATGTATAATTCAGCAATAAGTTTTGCAAATGCACTGCTTAAAATCAGTAAAAAATTTACATCCATAATAGAACGTTGAAAGTTTTCCAATGTTTTCAGAAATATTGAATTAAACTGAAATCATGACTCATCATTTATTTTGCAAAAAAATTAAACAAATATAATAACACAATTATAAGACTTATTTTGCTATTGAAAGAGCAATCAGTTTTACTAACTTCAACCTCATAGAGACCTATTTTCTAAATTAAGCAATGAAGTTAGCTAACTACCATTTGTATTAAAGATATCTTTAATGTTTTATATGCTCTTTCTTAAGAGTTTGGACTATATTTTGAAAAAATATTGGAGAGATTATTGCCTAATGATGTGATGATCAATGACCAGGCATTTGATAGATAATAACATAAATGTTTTAAATCCTTTCTCTTTAGCTATATAGAAGTAACAAGGTTTGTTAAAAAAATATCCAACCAAAATTTTCCATCACAAACAAATGAAAGAGGCATGATAGGGAGAATTTATTAAGAAAATACTATAAGAGAAAGGAAAGATCATTTCAGCATCTCAGGGTTATAAACCCTATACTTCAGTAAATAAGGTAAATTCCAGAATGGTCAGTTTATTTTAAAAGGCATTATTCAATATAAAATATGGTATTCCTTTAGTAAAAAGCATTTAACGTTAAAAGATTCTTTTAAAAAGGGCTGTAGAAAATGTATACCAATTACCATTATTATTGCTTTAAGAAAGTACTAAGTAACCAATTATTTATTTTTGTTTGTTTCAGGGAAGGTGGAACGATAAATTACTGATTATGTATTTTAATTAAAAACTTTCTCCTAATATATATAATTCTATCTATATTCCTTTCCAATGACATGAAAATAATAAAAATTAATAATCCAACAATAACTTTATTATCCTCTGCAATATATTATATTATCTGTTAGTTAACTTAATAAATGATTCAAATATTTCGAAAGGTTGTCACAATTTGATACTACAGTAGAGTCCCAAAACCTTGGCACCCCAGCAGTCAGGATATCTCGATCACACCCTTGTAGGTCAAAAAACTCCATGCGTAGACCCGTGCATTATGTCCAATGCAAAAATTATTGCTGGGGTCACAGTTAATGAAAAAATGTCAGAAAATGATGAAGACATTAACATTGAACACACTGTACAAACAACTAAAATATTGCAGATTGAGGGACTAAAGGCTGTCGAAACCACCTTTTAATATTTTGCACAAGGTGCATCGGAAATGGACTTACTGTTCCTCCACTGCCTTTGAGATGAAGCAGCAAAATGTAGAGTTAAGTGCAGAAGACAACAGGACATTACGCATTCCTTTAACAAAACGTAACCAGTTTTTTCAAAGTTGGCTACTTAATTGTACTGTAGGTATAGTATTCATAATTTTAATTTTCATGTAGTAAATGCTTTATGTCTTCATAAAGCACATACTTTTCCTTTGTTTAAGGATATTTGGGCAGTTAATTTTCTATTGTATTCTTAAGCAAACAGTACTTACAAGTGCAGTAGGGAATTTTCTGAGATAGCATTTGTACTTATATTCTTTTTTAATCCCATTCTCAATAACCCAACATTTTCACAAACTCAGCCATTCTTCAGTTCACACTAGGCTAAGTTTTTGGGACTCCAATGTATTAAAATATTCATGACTAATAAACTCCTTTATATTAGTATTTGTTCAGAAAAACTTAAACTATTTGCTTAAAGATCTCACTTTTTAAAATTCAAAGCTCGAACAATGCTGCCTCATATATCAGCTAATTTATATTAAAAATGGATCAAATGATAGAATATTTCCTCTTATTTGAAAGGATACTGACAATCTACATACATGGAAAATTATTAAATATCTCAGTATCCTTCAAGAGAAATAAGTTAATATTCTTACATTCACAAATCCTTTTTCCAAATCATGCACTAAATAGTACAATTCAATATCAAATCAAACTTAAAAAGAAAAAAATTATTCACACATTAAAGCACAAAATCATATAATTTTTCTAAAAAACATTTAACCTTTCAGTAGATTCAATCTAGGATCAATCTATAAAACATTTTAATAAAAAACTGAAATTATAACTTTTAAAAATTCTTTTTTAGATGATAGAAATAGCTAATCAATACCTTGATAATTTCATATTTATCATTTTCAATGTCCCTGGGAAGCTCTTCAAATGATATTCCATTATTGATACAAACCAAATTGAGAGCAGTATATCCCCTGAAGTCTTTTGCCTGAACATCCACTTTTGGCTACAAATATAAAACAAAATGCACTAAAATAAAAATTGTTACTTTTTCTGATCATCAAGTAATTGAACACACACACAACCAATTTAAGAATTTGATGGTAAACTGTGAAATAAAGCATATTAGTTAGCTAATTTTTAATTCTTACATTAAAATACTATTTGATAAATATATAAAATTATTTGTGTATTAACAGAGTTCTAAAGTAATGACAGAAAGTTAACCCATTCCAGTAGACTATCTTATATGCATGCCAGGAAGAAATGCACTTTGCTTCCTATTGTCACATATGCTTCATGCAACTTTTCTCCATTCATCCTCTAGCGTTAAGCATATAAGCCAGTGGATCAGAACACTTGAGCCTTCAATTTTTTTGGCAACAAATAGCATAGTATGTGCAAAGGATTTGAGATACATGTATATTTCACCTTCTATTCGAAATTAGAGAAATATTGCTTACATGCACATGTATTTTGATTTCTAAAAATAAAGGGAAAGGAATTCTTCAAAATTGCATGTTTTATAATGGCTATTAAAAGAGCATATGGTATTTATTTATGCTAAGGATAAAAGTTTTATTTTTGCTAGAGCATTCGATTTGGGTTTTGTCTAGTTTTCAATGGACAATTAGATATTGCAGACAAATTTTTTTATTCTTTTTAACATTACAATATCGAAGCATTGAAATGTTTAATTGAACTTGGAATAGCAAAAATGATGCAAAATTGATTTTAAAGCAGACTCTGACAGTAGTGATAGTGACATATAATATATTCTGATTGTTCTGTTCATTACCAATTTAATGATGATGACATTTCAGACACCTGTACACTGAGTATATAGAAAGAAAATAGCTCTCTATTGACATCCACAATAGAAAATTTAGATTTGGTTTGTTCACATTCCTGCAACAATCTTCCAAAATAGCAAATGAATTATTATTACAAGTGCAAAGATTGTAATGTAGGACTGTGTGTAGATCCCTGTTCCCAAAATTCATACTAAAAAGAATTTTAAGTAGCATTTTCAGTTTTCAAATGTACGAGGGTAAATTGAAAAATAAGTTTCCCCTGTCGACTGTGGTCAGAGTTGTGTATGAAAGTCAAAAAATATAATGAGACATTAAAGATATGACATACCTTTATTTTATTATTCTCGTACGAGTACGTTGAGACATTTGTCATATCGCTTGATAAGCTTCAAAAAGTCCTCCAAGAAAAAATCAGGGCTTTGCATATGGAAGAAGCGTTGAACGGCTATGGGCGAAAGGCGACACAGCAGGAAAACGCGCAAGTCACCGATACACCATTGGGTAGAGGTCGCTGCAAATCAAGCAGATGGCGCTGTTGCAGTGCCTTCACAAAGCGGAGACCAGCCTCTCATTTGAGCCCCGGTAGGTATGGAGAGAAGGTGCGTTTTGAATTCGTGGTCAAAGGAGGAAGTGAGAGAGGTTATCCGCTATGAATGGGCACGTGGAGTATCAGGAACAGAAATTCATAACTGCCTCGTGGAAGTCTATGGGCCAGGTGTGATGTCGAAGCAGATGGTGTCGCACATTCAGTGATGGACGTCAGCAAGTGGAGGACAAACCGAGAGCTGGACGGACGCGCACGGCCACTACAGGTGCAAATGTCGGGAAG